ACAATGTTATGGCAATATAGAGAATGTAATGGTATAATAGTAAATTAAAATGGATATAAAGTTATATATATACTTATTATCACAATCATAATAAACTCTGACATGTGACATATAAAAATGTCAAAAGGTGTTCTTGTTAGGGTAGTGGAACTAATTTCTCTTTTACCACTTTCTAAATTATCTGCAATGAAGTTCAGTTACTTTTACAATTAAAATTATTTTTTAAAACTATCACTCTAACATTGATGAACCTTAACAACATTATGCTGAAAGTGAAAGAAGTCGGTCACAAAAGACCACATATTTTATGATTCCATTTATATGAAATATCCAGAATTGGCAAATCTATAGAGACAGAAAGTAGATTAGTGGTTATTTAGGACTAGGAAGATATGGGAAAGGGATTGGGGGGGAACAACAGCCAAAGGATACAGGGTTTCTAAGATGATGAAAATGTTCTAAAATTGATTATGGTAATGGTTGCACATATCTGTGAATATACTAAAAACCACTGAATTATACACTTTAAATAGGTGAACTGCATGGTTTGTGAATTCTATCTCAATAAATCTTTTAAAAAAAAACTATCATCCTAATTATTTTTTTTCTGCCAATTGCAAATGGTAGCAGAGGGTAAGAAAGGGTCCAAGGTTCCTAAGACCGTAAGTACAGATATATTCAAAGTTATTATAAGATTAGCTCCACCAGGGAATTGACCTGGACAGGTTTTAAACCAAGATTACAAAGTGTCTCATACTGTTAACTGCCTGATGTAATCCCAAACTCTTGAGCAAGTTTTATTCCAATCTGTCAGTTGAAGAGCAGCCATTCCATTAGCTCTGACACAGAATGGAAATTCTGTAATTTGATTCTTGTTGACAAGAGACAAATTAACACTGCAAACATATAATAAGCAAATAAGAGTATGATGAACAGCTAGGCAATCAATATATAAAGCTTTAATAATATGATCTGTATCAGGTTTAATGGTGTGGATAAAATATCTTATGTGAAAGCATCCTATAATTTGCACTTAAGTTTTGTGAGAAATTATTTAATAAGTGAAACAGAATGAGGCCGATATACTTTTCCCTGAAACTCACCTGAAGTGCAGAAAGAGCCACAGCGCCACAGAGACATATAAGCGGATATACAGGGAAAAGAAATCTCTCCTCTTTGTGAGGCTGGATGAAGAAAATTATAAACCAAATATACATTGGAGCCAAGGTAAGCCAATATGGGTGGCCTAAATTCTGAACTGCAAGACACAGAAAAATATCCACATTTCAACATATTAGAACATAATAACATACTTAGTTTCAATGTTATCTTGATCTCAAATTTGGCAGTATGCCCTAGTCCTAGGGCCTAGGATGTTCCATAAAATGCTTCAACTCTCGTATTCACACTTTCTGCAACGTGATAAAGGTGATAAAGGCTCAAGTAGAGAGAGGAATATACTCCTTAGCTCTCCCAGGAGATCCAAAATCTAAAGGGAAGCACGATACTGGATTTGGCCAGAACACAAATGAAAGTCAAGTTAATCAGTAATAGAACTTAATAAATTCTACGTTGGGTGAAGAAAAAAAAGCCATCTCCCACTAATGAATCCTGTCACTAAGACTAAAGGTTCCTGAGATTAACCAAAAGTATAACATAAACTATTTCTTGGGTTTTATAATTCCTATGTTCTGTTTAATGCATTCATCCTCTTATCTATACACCAGTCTGTTCAAATAGCCATAGATCAAAGGAAAAAAACTGTTAGATTCTCACACTCATTACTGGTTTTCATCATGCCACAAATGACAGAGTTTGTTTCAGAATACACATAAAAATGCTCTCAAAGGAAATTTACTTATTTAGTTTTTTTCCCTCTTCTGTAATATTCATCCACTTTGAATTCCAAAATTGTAACTAAAATGTACTTAAAGCATGTGAAAGAATTAAAGGAATGTAATGACCACTAATACCCAAGAACCTGCTGGAAAGTTCCTGTGGTTAGGTTCATGAGCACTGAGTGACAAGCCTGCAACCCACAGTGAAGGCATCTCCTACTGCGCTTGTATTAGTGATAATGAGCAGTGC